TCATATTTCGAAAATGCAGAAATACCCACCAAAAAGTGTGATTTTGATCCCAAAAAATCATAACATAAATGTCGCTCTAATACCAATTGATGGGACGTTAATCCCACAATGGAAACGACGAACGTGTTCTTTAATTTTTAGGATAAAAATACAGCACATTAAAGGAACAAAAACGTGGGGAAAATGAAACTTACTTTTGTAGAACCTTTCTTCAATTAAACTCAAGCGGACACCACCACGACCTTTCTTGCTATGGCTCCGGCGAAGATCCGATTGTGTATGAACCAATAGAGAATTCTTTAGTGATAGAGAGAGTTTTTACTGTAGAGAAAGTTTTTCTCCGTTTCTAGTTTTGCAGGTTCAAAAGAGAGCAAGCACAAATGCAGAACTTTTTTGCATTTCTTAACAAACAAAAAAGGACTTGGGGAGTTACCCCACGTCACCACTATCCTGCATTTGTGTGGGGGAGTTGGGTTTTCCCTTCTTTAATTTGTTTTTTTATTATTATTTAATTGATTTATTTAATTAAAAAATTATAATTAAATTAAATTAATTAACATTTAACCAATTTAATTAATTAATTATTAATCTAATTAATAACTACTTATATAATTAACAATTATTAATCTAATTATATAATTAACAATTATTAATCTAATTGTATCAAAACCCTACATGTTGTATCAAAAAAAATTTTATTAATAATTATTAATATAATTAATAAATCCTTAATCAAATTCAAATATTAATTAAATAAAAAAATAAAAATTATTTATTTATCTTTTAATTAAATATCACATATTTAATTCAAACTATATATTTGAATCATATTAAAAAATATATATCTTCTATAACCTATAGTTTTAATATAAATCCTATTCATATTAATTATTTGAATCCTATTCAAATATTTCTCTCATAATATATAGTATTAATTTTGAACTTTTATCCAAATTTAATATATATTTATATACAATGTATGAATATACACTATATACATTCCCTTAAATAATTTGAACACTTCAAATTATTTCATAATTATTAATCCTCGTTTTACTCGATGTGAGCTAGCAAGGGGACCTAATGAACATACAGATCAGAAGCTCCAACAATACGAGATTAATCGATTAAACTCATTAATCAAGTAAATCAACATTCGTTAACTGCGAGTCACTCCACTAAAGACACGCAGCTGCACTCTTCTCACTACATTATGGTTTTCATGTCCACGGATATACAACTGACTATTAACGGCAAGTCAAGCCTTCATGAGTCCTCGTAACTCAAGCTGTGTAAAATTATCATTTTACCCTCGAGTTACATCTTACTCCTTCAATACCACTACTTCTCTAACGAAAAACTCGGTTATGGTTCGATCAATAATCGGAAGTCACTCTCGGGCCAGTGAAAGAGTGGGGCCCCTTGTTCAAGTCTCGAAGTCAGCATTTAAGATAACACTCATCTACTCCCCTAAAGTTGGGGAGGATTGAATTCCATCTCGTGAAGTTATGTTCCCAGCTCCTCACTCGATCTCGTCCCCAAAATGGTAGGAATGTTGAGTCGGTGACTCGAACAACTCTCACTTATACAGATCAAAGAACAAACCCTCACTGGCAAGAGTCCATAACTCACTCAAGATTGAGAATGAGTTATATGGTCATCATATGAAATAGCAATTTGTTAGTCAACAGTGTTACATGAAAAGATTGATTATTTCGCGGTCTGGTCTTATACAAACTCATTGTATAAGATACCCCCACTCGCATGTCTCCACACGAATTGATGGATAATATAAATTCATGCGCAGCGGAAGCGAGCAAGGATCAAAATAACAATCTAGATGCATAATACAACCTAGGATTAAATATGCATGATCATACATTATGATGCTTAGAGAAAAATACATACCTTCGTAGCTTTTCAAAATTCTTCAAATAGCTCCAATGAGGACTACCAAGAGATCTTCCTAGCTATTCTCAAGGCTTGGAATAGAGTGGTGCGACTCTTTTTAGATAAGGAAAAATTAAGAGAAATGTGGCGCTAAAATGAGTTATATAAGCTTTTTGAAAAAAAACATCAAATGGCCAAAGGTTCCAATGCAGGTTCCAAGGCCTTCTTAAATAGGCAAATTACATGCAACTCTTGCATGTCAAAGTTCACCAAAAGCTTACAACACATATTCCACTCATGCACGGCATGACTAAGTTTCAAAATGCATGTCTAAGTTCACCAAAAGCTTACAACACATATTCCACTCATGCATGGCATGACTAAGTTTCAAAATGCATGTCTAAGTTCACCAAAAGCTTACAACACACATTCCACTCATGCAAGCATGGTAAGTGTCAAAAAGTGGATTTTTGAGATTATTTAAATGCTCCACTCAACAAGATAGTGAAATTTTCCATCAACTTGGTTAAAAACATTATTTTAATCTTCTTAGTCAACCTTTGACTTTCTCTGGTCAAAGTCAACTATTTGACTTTCCAAAATCCGACTGTTTGACGAAATCCATGCCTCCGATTATGAATCCGCATTCATAATTTTAATATTTAAATCCTATTCGAATTCATCACCTACATCAACAGGAGACAAATCAGAAACATTAAAGGTAGCACTCACCCCATACTTACCTGGCAAATCAATCTTATAAGCATTATCATTGATCCGTTCAAGGACTTGAAAAGGACCATCGCCTCGTGGTAACAACTTAGACCTTCGTTGAGTTGGAAACCATTCCTTTCGAAAATGTATTCAAACCCAATCCTCAGGTTGGAAAACGAGGAGCTTGCGTCCTTTATTGATGCGGGAAGCAACTTTAGTGTTTTGCTTCTCAATCCTTTCCTTAACTTCTTTATGTAGCCTATGGACAAGATCAACCTTTGTGCTAGCATCATAACTCACAAATTCATTAGGACGTATAAGCAACAAATCAAGTGGAGTGATAGGATTGAAACCATATACAATTTGAAACGGTGTGCATTTGGTAGTACTATGGACAGCCCTATTATATGCAAATTCAATTAGTGGCAAACAATCCTCCCAAGTTTTAAGATTTTTATCTATGATTGCTCCAAACATGGTAACCATTGTCCTATTTACTACCTCAGTTTGTCCATCGGTTTGGGGATGACAAGTAGTAGAATAAACAAGTTTGGTTCCCAACTTTCCCCATAACACACGCCAAAAATGACTTAAAAATTTTACATCTCGATCACTAACAATAGTTCTAGGAATGCCATGCAAACGAAMAACTTYCCTAAAGAACAAATCAGCAATMAATTTAGCATCATCAGTTTTATRGCATGGTATGAAATGCRCCATCTTGCTMAACCTATCAACCAYTACAAATATACTATCCCTACCYTTTCGAGTTCGTGGTAAACCAAGGACAAAATCCATAGAAATATCAACCCAAGGAGTAGTAGGAACAGGCAAAGGTGAATATAAACCATGTGGTTGTAACCTAGACTTAGCTTGTTTACATGCAATACAATGCTTACACACTTGATGCACATCATGCTTCATCTTAGGCCAATAAAAATGTTCAGCAAGCATATCATAAGTTTTAGAAACACCAAAATGAGCCATTAAACCACCCCCATGAGCTTCCTTGACAAGTAATTCACGAATGGAACAAGATGGAATGCAAAGTTTACCTTTTCTAAACAAAAATCCTTCAAACAACATGTAATCATCCACAACAAGTCCTGTTAAGAAACCCTTGAGACTGGATCTAAGAACCTTGCTAACGAACAAGACCCATATAACTCAATCCCAAAAACCCCAGAAACAAGTATGGAATCAACCCGAGGAAAAGTTTAAGAACGGATTACCTTGATGATCAATATCAAGAGTAGAGAAAACTCGTTTCTAAACTCGTGATTTGAATCACTCCACAAGAGGTATGATCAACACC